GGCTGCTACGTAAGTGCATTTTTATTTTTTTAATTTTTGATGTTCCTATGGTATAATAAACATACTACACTATGGGAGGATCCCTCTGTTTTGTTCTGGGAAAGTGACATTTCATCTATACCTGGAGAAGAGCTGAGTGGGAATATTATATCCTGAGAAGTGGTTTTGGAGTGATTTGGTGCCTGGAGGATCTGTGAGAGGGATCCATATTGCTCTTTGACCCGCAAGGGTCGAAGTGATGAGGTGAGAGGCTAATCCAGAAGGTGGTTGGATTCACAAGCTCTATCTACACCCAGATACCTGCACGTTTTGTTTTCACCTGTGGTCACTTTACAGCATATTGGAAACACAGTTTACCAAAATATTTTTTTCACCTTTTTCCATTATTGGACCTTTTTTTCACCTTTAATATTTCATTATTGGACTTTGAGTTTGCGTGTATTATTTAGACATATTTCACTTCACATATTTGCACGTGTGATGTAATATATGTATGTGCATTTTTCATGCACATGCGTATTGATTTAAGTTTGTGTTTTGCTATCATTTTTGTGTTATCACCTAGCACAATTTCTATTATATTTATTATTATTGTTATTATTTTATTGAATTCCACATTTACTTTAATTAGTTTGAATGTAGCGCAACATTTTATGGTTTATATTCACTTGATCATTGGTATATGATTTAATGTTAGCAGCTGTTTGGGGTTCATTTATTATTTTAATTTGTTTTAATACACATTTGGAGCGCAGGAGGGTCACACCATTATTGATGGGAGGGACCTAATGCCAGTTAAAAAGAAAAATGTAATTGCTGACTTAATAATATAAATCATTCGGTATTTTAGTAGCTGTGCGGTATCTTACCACACACTCAGGTGCAGTAAGATACAGCTTAGTGAATTGTCCCTGTTCGAAGTTCGCGGTCGAACTCTCGTTAGATTCGAATGTTCGACTGCGAACTGAAGGATGAGTGTTCGGCCCATCACTATTCTTCGGTATGTATAGAACTTTTTTTGTTTATTAAACAGTGTTTTCCGTAAATATGTATTATACTGAGTTAATTTAATATTTTAATTTATAACTAGTACAATTTATTTTCTGTGTATTTTAGAAACAGATATCCAAATCAAATATCTAAATTCAAAGTAAATCTATTTTCTTTTTGATATTGTGGGTAAGGTTTTGACTTCCATTGGACTTGAAACTTCCACAGTGGAGATGCAAACAGCAGTAAAAACCTATCAAAGGTTCTAACTTTCCCTTCTAATCTAAAAAATCATTTTACATCATCCTGCATTCCTTTTGATGAGATTGATCCTCACTTTATGTGCTGACTGTCGAAAAGACAGGAAAAGAAGGCTAATATTCCAAGTGGGAACACAAGCACTAATTAAAGCCTCTTTCACATGGACAGGATCCATTTTTCTCAGGAAAGGATGTGTCCACTGATCCTTTGCTGAGCTGAGTGGGAGCGATCAGATGACAGGTCTGTGTCCGCTCCGATTATGCAGAGCGGACACAGACACAGCCCGTTCTGCTCTATAGGCAGCTGGATGTAAAAGGACCAGCTGTCCATTTACACCTGCCTGCCCTTCGATCCAATCCACCCAGACAGAGGGGAATGGATCCCCTTCCATTTGTTTTTACTGGATAGGATTGAAGGAAGGTGGGTGTAAATAGACACAAGTCCGTTTACATCTGCCACTCCATAGAGGAGAATGGAGAGTCCGATCGGACTGCTCGTGTGAAAAGGACTATAATCTAAAGTTCTAACCCTCCCACTCTCTTTAAAACTAAAACAAATGTTTTAAGTCGGGATTAAAAACTTTCAAAATAAAATAGGATACAGTTGATTCCCAGCAGTCAATTCCTCATGGTGTGGCACTCACTATTTATGACTTGTATATTAGAATTCATTCATTCCAAGACATTTGGGAATAGGTATTTGCTTACTGAAGGTAGTCAATTTCACAGAAACTATCAATAACTTGTTTGCTCTATTGTCAGAGTGGGCTGTCTACGAAGATAAAAAAAACAAACGATGGCTGTTGTTTTTGGAACCATGGACAATGACAAAAAATTATCTTTTAACTTCTTTCCAACCGCCCTATAACAGAAATACTGCTACAGATCGGCACGGGTGTGCAAAATCATGTATATATACATGACTTTGCATTTCCAGGTAGGGTACACGCTCGCGCCTTACCCGCACCACCGTTCGCAGCCACGGATGTCAATATCCGTGTCCCAGCCGGTGATTACTCGCCAGCTCCTGGTGATTTCTGATGACCTCGGATGGGGAGGAGAACTGTTTTGTTTACTAACAGTTCTCCTCCCTGTCAGCTCGGGCACACTGCTTTGTATGGCTCTGCACAGCACAGCCATCCAAACCAGTGTGATTACAGTGAAGCACACTGATACAGCTCCTTATTAAAACACTCCCAGCACACAGTTAACCCTTTGATCACCTCTTCATGTTAACCCCTTCCTGGCAAGTGCTATTAGTACAGTGTCAGTACTTTATTTTAGCATTGATCACTTTATTGCTGTCACTGGGGATGTCAGAGACACCAAGTCAGTTCCTCCCAGTGTCAGAATGTCCGCCACAGTCCCGATATAAGTGGCTGATGGCCGCCATTACTAGTAAAAATTTAAAAAAATTACAGTATCTATACCGCCATTTGTAAACGCTAAAACTTTCACATAAACGATTTAATTCACACGTGTTGGGATTTTTGTTTAGAAAAGACATGTAGCAGAATACATTTTGGCCTAAATTTATGATGAAATTAGATTTTTAAAATGGTTTACTGGACATGTTTAATAGCAAAAAGTAAAAAATATTGTTTTTTCTCAAAATTGTTGGTCATTTTTTTTTATAGCGCAAAAAATGATAAACGCACAGGAGATCAAATACCACTAAAAGAAAACTCAATTTGTGGGAAAAAGGATGCAAATTTAATTTGGGTGCAGTGTTGCATGACCGCGCAATTGTCAGTTAAAGTAACGCAGCGCCGTAATGCAAAAAAATGGCCTGGTCAGGAAGGGGGCTAAATCTTTAAGATGGCAAGTGGTTAAACAAAGCAATTAAAAAAAATCATCTTACACCTAATATTACTTTGAATGTTGTATGGTTTTAAAAATTGTTTTGATACACTGCCTAAATTTCTATCATCAAAATTGTTGATGTAATGGCTGTTTTACCACGGTAAGATGAACTGAAGTATGCTATGAAATGAATACTCATACATAATGTATTTATTGGACATATAGCAGTTGGTGCACAGTGTTCCAAGTAGTAAGCTGATCAGTTGCTTATGTATTTCAGTAAATGAATGCAGTGAAAACCAGGTCTGGTGTAGGAGAAATTGTGTTTATAAAACTCAATAGTTATTGATTTTGGTGTAAAATGTGTGACAATTTTAAATCATTCTACTTTTGTAGCTGGATTAAAGACAAAGTATGGTTTTTATGTGTATAAGTCTGGTTTTAATTGTGACCACCATGAACAGGACACATAGAGAACAATTGATTTTGTTGTGCCTTTGCAGAATGCATGCAGAAAAGCTGACGTCTCTGCACCATGGTGTGAACAAGCTCTTAAAGTTAAGTGCTGGATACATGCCTTATGCCAGACATAGATGAGTCAAAAACCGAACAAAACTCTTGTTGATTGTTGAATCGTTCGTTTGTTACATCATTAGCGTGTCAGCTATGACACTATGAAACAGATCCAAATTTTTTTTTTTTTTTTTTTTTTTAGAAAATCTAAACAAACGATGGCACAATCATATGAGCTATTTTTACTTTTTGATCGACAGAGCATTCAGTTTTCAACTCATCTATGGCCAGCTTTAGAGTGTAAGTTAAAGAGGAACTTCAGACACAGTGGTGTTTTTTTTTTATAGCTTGGGATACAGTGCAGAAGGATTAGAACCTCTGTCAGGTTTTTGTTATGTAATGTAAGAGTAAGAAGTATATTACCAAATTTAACAAAGTTCCACTTGTTACAAGTGTAAAAGGCAGTTGGGTGATTTTACCTGTCTATTCCTGCAGTGGTGACAACTGCAACATGTTGTATTTCCCTTCATTCCCTGTTATGAGGACAATCCCGAACAGGGACACATATAGCAATACAAACCTCAATGTGATTCTAACACTTCCCCGTGGAACCTAAAAATGTTTAAAAGGTTTTGCATGGATTCCACTTTATCTGTCACCAGCATATGGGGCATTATGTTATGCTAACAGTAGCCAAAAAAAAAAAAAGAGAATAAGTTGGACCAGTGTCATAGAAATCCATTTTTCTTTTCTAAATCCTCTTGTGTAGGATAGCTTTAGGGTATCAGTAAATAGAAAAAGATTTTTAGGTCATTGCTACTCAAGGCAGTGCTACGTAAGGTTGTCCTTTATTTGAATTCCAAATGTTAAATTTGAGCTATATATACACCTTTTTATGTGAAATGTCTACATGATTTCCGTCCAGAACATATTGTTTATGTCTTTCTTTCATGCAGTCCAGTTATGTGCAGTGTTTATACTAAAAGATTCTGTTCACTATGCTTTATGAAAATAGAAAAACATTACCCAGAGCTTGCAAACGGTGTACAGTCCCATGTTATGCAAGCTTGAAGAATATAAACATATAGCATGTACATGAATACAAAATAAAAGTGTAGGCGCATATTTCTGCAGTTAGCTTGTTTGTTTCCTCCCAGCTGTACCTATCACATACATAGTCCAATCCTTCCATGATACGAAGATAACTGACAATCTATGAATCATGATTTTATGGTAAATAATTACATTATTTATGCTTTGGACCTATTTACTCTCAAAGCCTTAAAACTCTTGCTAGAAGCTTTTACAGTTCAAACAAATAAGTAATATCATTTAAGCCTTAGAATAATTGTGAAAAACAAGCTTTCGGCTCTGGATGTTCAGTGAAGTACCATGTACAATATAAACTCATAATGAAAACATTCATTTACTTACATGAAAATTCAGTAGGTCTTCCTCCAAGCCCACAGTGCTTAACCCTCTGCCCATAGAAAAGACCATACTGGATCTCTCCAATAAATTTCTGCAGCTCATCTCCTGTAGCGTTAACTAGTAAGGCTCCAGTCTTGCACAGGACTGTTCCTTGAACCCACAGCTGAATACCTAAAGCTGCCGCAATTGCCAGAGCACAGGAGAAGCTCAGTATACCAGCTAGGCAGAACAGAACTTTCTTTTGCAATTTAGGCATGACTGGACCCTGTAGACATTACACAATGACAAACTGTCTATAGTATCCCCACTGTGAAATCATACAGCAGATCCCAAGCTGAGTCTTGCAGGAGCATTAAACTGGCCATTAGCTTTATCTTGCAGACAAAAATCCAAGTTGATAATTTTAGCAGCCGGCATAATCAAGCTGTGCAAGTAACAGTATAACAGCAGAAAAAGAGACCAGTGAGATGCTATTCCTTGTTCCTTTGTGAGGACTTGAGACAAAACCTCAGGACAGCAGATGGGAGCTTTGTGTAACCTAATAGATGCTTCCTCTATAACACCAACTACATTCTGTCTGATTGGCTGAGATGAAATTCCAGAAATGGGCAATGTTCCCAATTTAATTGGATGTCTATTGGAAAATGCACAAAACCGTCATGGGATTTCTTAGGAGATCCATAAATCTTAAAGTGCATTGCTCCGTGTCCACTCATTTTAGGTTCACAGCAGGTTATATTGATCCTTTATGTAAGCACTTGCAGAGTACTCTACACCCTTATATTTGTGTTTCAGCTCTAACCTCCAATATATATTATTTTTATTGTCTATTATAACACAGATCTTCAGGTGAATTTAATACAAACATGAGTGGAATTTGCAATTTTAAAATTTCAGTTCAATGAGCACTGTTATCGATTGGCTAATATTTAGTTGTCTTTTGCTATACAGTTGAAATTTGTGTAAGAATTACAATCTAGCCCAAGAGTGAGTTAATAAGTACTAAGAAGGTGTGAATTACCATGTTTACAATTTGTATATTTTAAATGACTGTGATTAACATATATTTTACTGAAAAATTATGTTATTTAGATTTTTTTTTTTTTTTTATGAAGCTGCGTTGTAATGAACCAGCAGCGGTAGTAAAGTCATTTTTTTCTCTTGTACCTACAGGTAGGTCTACAATAAGGCTTACCTGTAGGTACAGTAAATATCTCCTAAATGTGCCCCGTTTAGGAGATATTTACATTAGCAGCGTCAGTGATGTCACCGACGCATGTACAGTGCGCTCTCAATGAACAGTGTGCAGTGCATTGAGAGAGCTGTGCCACGGCCGAGTGATGTCATCGCGGCTTGGCCAGTCAAACATCTGCAGCCCACGAATCCGGAAGGAAGACCGGGAGAAGATGGACACCCTGGGGAGCTAAGACAGTGCACTGCTGGAGGGCTTCATTTTCAGGTAAGTCTTTCATAATGTACTAGCATGCGTTACATACTAGCACATTATGCTTTTAAAGATTTTTTTCGTTGTATTTTTTTTTTTGCGGTTTACTACCGCTTCAAGGTACATTTTTAAAGCTGAACTCTAGGGAAATGGCTAAATACACAAATAAAATACTGTACACATATGACATATGTTTTACCTGGCAAAGGAGTTGTATCTCTGTGCATCTAAGTCCTGAGAGTTACACAGCGCTGCCACACAGAACTGGGCTCTGAAGCAGACCAGGAGACTTTTTTTTATTTCTGCTGCAGTTCAAGCTGCATTGATTTATTATTGTAATGCAGCCAGGCTGAATATAAGGTCATTAATTTCTTGTTCTTTGGCTTTTTTTTTTCTTTTTTACACTGTTAAGCACTGCAGCAAAGGTTAACGAACTCTGTCTTGGCAGCACATAGGAGAGTCGAAATGCTGATTTTACACACAAAAAAACAGAAAAACATTTGAACAATGCATGCTCTAATCCAGTGTTTCTCAACCTTTTTTGAGTCAAGGCACCCTTTAAGATTATGGATAGTCTCTCAAAACACCCTTTACAATCCTGCAGAATCGCAAGGCACCACATCCTAAAATGTAAAAAACCTATTCTACACACATCCATTACACCCATTGTTAGAGGTGATTTATTCTTCCAAAGCAAATACACCTTTGTACACTGGTACTGAATAGTATTTCAGTGTGTCTCTCTCATTTTCTCTCCTTCAATCTGCTAATGTAACGCAAGTGCTGACAGAGAGGGGCAAGGGAGAGCCAAACAAGGATGATGTGCATGCATCCAACGTCCTCCCTATCATCTGATGATGTCATTGGTTGTTAGGTTGATGGCAGCTAGAAGGTCATAAAAGTGCACAATGAAAACAAGGCTTTGTGTACTAAAAAAGACAGGACTGATCAACCTGCTGGCTTGTATACAATATTTGGGCTTTTTGCCAAGGCACCCCTGAAGAAGCCTAAAGGCACCCCAGGGTACCAGGGCACCCTGGTTGAGAAAGGCTGCTCTAATCAACAGCACTCTCACTCCTTCAACAAAGCTACTGATGGGAGCATTGTTCAGGGGGATATGTTGGACCACTGGAGGGTCTGGTGCTGCTTAGTGTAGGAGAGCAGTGATCCAACCAGGGGCGGACTGAAAACTCATAGGGCCCCCAGGCAATAGGGGATCATGGGGCCCCTGTGTCCTTGCCCACACTCAAAGCACACCCAAAAAAGCCTATCAAAAAGGTTCCAGGGGCATTTCATGAGCCCCCTACTGACCCCGGGCCCCTGGGCAATGCCTGAGTGCTCGAATGGTCAGTCCGCCCCTGGATCCAACTTACCAATGTGCTGCCAGCTACATACAGTATACTGTATCAGGTGCTGCCTTATGTGTGAGAGCAGTGGTCTGACTTTTCTATGTGCTGCCATCACAGGGTTTTTTGACCCACTTCACTGTTCCCTTCCTGTTGCAGGTATTCCACAGTTTAAGATCTGTGATTACCTGCTCCTCCCTCTGCACACAGTGGTTCCTCTCGCTGGCTACATCTCTTCAAAATGTACAAACCAGTGAGAGAATCCACTGCATACAGTGGGGGAAAGGTATTCAACCCACCCAGAATGGTCAAATACCTGCAGTGGCTGGGGAGCAGGGGAGGAATGGTATTTCAACACATGGGCTGCCACAAAGGTAAGTGTAGACTGGCTTTCTTTTATAAGTGACACTGGTTAAGGGGTCAGTTTACAAGCCATTAAACGTTAGAGCAATTTGTCGATGTTTCCCATTTTCCCCACTTTATATCAAGTAAGCTTTGCTAAGTGGGCCAATTACATTTCAGCATTGCCAAAGCAAGTGAGGAATAGGTTCGAGGATATTATGAGGGGGTGTTTGGAAATATTTTTTTTGATCTACAATTATTTTGGGCTCTCACATTGTAGTTCAGAAAAGCATTATGTTTATCACCCTGTGTACATGTGACTAGAATAAAAACAACTTCACTACAAAGTGCAGCTGATAGGCTATATGAATTGCTCTAACGAGTTTGTTAGAGGTACTAGCAATAACAAAGATTTATTTATGGTACTTATATAGCACAGTCAATTTACGCAGCGCTTTACATATTTATTGTACATTCACATCAGTCGCTAACCCTCAAGGGGTGTACAAATCTAAGGTCCCTAACTCACATTCATACATACACATACTAGGGCCAATTTAGACAGGATCCAATTAACCTACCAGCATGTCTTGGAGTGTGGGAGGAAACCAGAGTACCCAGAGGAAACCTACTCAGGCACAGGGAGAACATGCAAACTCCAGCAGGTGGTTCCTGGTTGGGATTCGAACCAACAACCTGCGTACTGCCAGGCAGAAGTGCTAACCATTTAGCCACTGTGCTGCCCTTAGATGCCCAAAGATTGAATGATTCATTTGGTTTTGCAAACCATTTGGAGTGGTGTCGGATCAGGACAGGGCCCTGAACTACTTTGCTGTGAAGAAGTTTTGGAGTGATAATATTCTTCATGACAAATGAGTTGCAATGATAAATTCCTAATAATCTGGGCTTGTGAAGAAACTTGAGAGCACTGTGTCCAAATAAAGGCTGTTGGGTTAACTTGGTGATGCTCTTTGCTACAGTTGTGCTCAAACATTTGCATACCACGGCAGCAATTGTGAAATGTTGGTATTGATATTGAAAATATGACTGATCATGCCAAAAAAACCTGTTTGTTTTATTTAAGGATAGTGATCATATGAAGTCATTTATTATCACATTTTTGTTTGGCTCCCTTTTAAATCATAATGATAATACAAATCACCCAAATGGCCCTGATCAAAAGTTTACATACCCTGGAATGTTTGGCCTTGGTACAGACTCACAAGGTGACTTACACAGGTTAAAATGTCAATTAAAGGTTAATTTACCACATCTGTGGTTAAATTGCATTTAGCGACTGTTTATAAATAGTAAATGAGTTAGCTCTCAAGTGGATGCACTGAGCAGGCTAGATACTAAGCCATGTGGAGCAGAAAATAACTGTCAAAATACCTGCATAACAAGGTAATGAAACTTTATAAAGATGGAAAAGGATATAAAAAAACATATCCAAAGCATTGATGATGCCAGTCAGTACATTTCAACCACTTATTAAGAAGTGACAAATTCAGGGATCTCTTGATACCATGCCAAGGTCAGGTAGACCAGGAAAAATTGCAGCTACAACTGCCAGAAGAATTTTTTGGATACAAAGAATTACCCACAGGTAACCTCAGGAGAAATACTTGCTGCTCTGGAAAAAGACAGTGTGGTTGTTTCAAGGAGCAGAGTACCATGATACATGAACAAAAATGAGCTGTGTGCTCGAGTTGTCAGAAAGAAGCCTTTACTGCACCAATACCACAAAAAAGCATGGTTATAAAATGCCCAGCAACACCTTGACAGGCCTCACAGCTTCTGACACACTGTAATCTTGACGAGACTAAAATAGGGTGCAGGGGCGGACTGAAACTCATGGAGCCCCCGGCAATAGGGGATCATGGGGCCCCTGTGTGTCCTTGCCCACACTCAAAGCCCATCCAAAAAAGCCCATAAAATGTACCAGGGGCATTTCATGGGGCCCCCTACTGACCCCGGGCCCTCATGCAGTGCCTGGACCCTCGGGCAGCGCCTGGGATTCACTAAGCCCTGCCTTAAGCAAAAGGCCATGTTGACCCTCCAATGGTTACAGCAGAAATAGGTGAAGGTTCTGGAGTGGCCATCACAGTCTCCCGACCTTAATAT